AATATATACAACAGTACAGACCAAAAGTTTGAACACACATTATCATTCAAAGAGTTTTCTTTATTTTCATGACTATGAAAATTGTAGATTCACACTGAAGGCATCAAAATTATGAATTAACACGTGGAATTATATACGTAACAAAAAAAGTGTGAAACAACTGAAAATYTGTCTTATATTCTAGGTTCTTTAAAGTAGCCACCTTTTGCTTTGATTACTGCTTTGCACAGTTTTTCATGATCTGTTTGTTCCTCATGGGAAACAGTCGTGTATAAATTACCTCAAAGTGATACTAGAGTAAAAATACAAGTATCTTTACTTTGGTAAAACTCTGTCTTCTCTAAGAATGTTACTTGAGTAAAAGTCTTAAAGTAACGAACATTTATTGTGCTTAAGTATCAAAAGTAAATTTCTGACATAAAATGTACATTAAGTGAGTGGTTAGAATGTTTAAAATGACATTTATTGTACTTAAGTACATAAACAAAGTATTTGTTATATTATCCACCCCTCTGATTGGACATGAAGGTGTTCAGAAATCATTTATTAAAAACAAAGATCCTGTGTTGCTCTGGGCTGCTGCCTCTGTTGGTTCTTTAGACGTCCYGCCTCGTGACAGGACAAGTTGCCTCGGTTATTTTCTCTGCATGAGGAAACCTCTGCTTGTTTGAGATGTTGATTTTCTGACAGTGGTATGAGGAAAATGTTTCAGTCCTTCACTCAGACTGGAGGAAGTTGGGCTGCAGACTTTATCAGAACACCAGAGCAGCCCGCAGCAGAGCAGCAGCTCACGGGTCGGAGCTCTAAGGTTCGTTGGCTCTTGTTTGAGTTTGTTGGATCAGGAAGAGGTGACCCTGATCTGAAAAATACATTCCTCTTGTCACCAGAGCTAAAACTTCCTTCTCCCGAACTGTGAAGAGAAAAAAAAACAAAAAATCTGGTGCAGGGTTTGTTCCCAGGCAGATAATCCTGCAGGGATTCTACAAACCACTGCAGAAGAACTTCTGCTTCACTTTTTATTTCCAGATAAACCCCCAGCATAGGACTGGAGGGGCTTCCTAAGAGACAAACAGCTCCTGTGGTTTATTTAGAAAACATTGTACAGTTGMATGTGTGAGTCTGTAAATATGGTGATGACAGTTTTTTTTCCTTCCTCTCCATCATCAGAACACCCTGGGGGCCTACCCTTGTGGTTCTGACCATACTCCCAGCCCKATGGCCAGCTGGGTGGCTGTGGAAGCAAAGACCATACTGGACAGCCCCTCGGCCCGCTTCACTGCTGTGGCTGTGAGCGTCAGGCCGGGACATACCATCGCCTTCCTGGGAGACTCCAAGGGCAATCTGCACAAGGTACCAGGCCAGTTTGGGTTTCAGACAGACAGGTGCTCAGATTACAGAGATTATTCTCTTCCTGCCAGAAGCTAGGAGGATTATCTGGGATGATTTGATGATTTTTAGTTCAGCCTAATTGGATAACATGTGTTGAGTGTTTGCTCGTGGTTCATCTGTTCTTGTGGGATTATTTACACTTTTAAGTTTTCTCTCTCATATTCATCATGTGTTTATTTAACTGACAGTGTCTTATAATGAGGCTGATATGCAATTCTTCCTTTTCTCTTTTTTTCAGTTTAGTTTTTACATTGTTCAGTGACTCAGAGCTCTTCTTTGATGAACTTCTCTCTCTCACACCCTGCAGTCTGCAGGATTCCTGCACGCTTTAACAAACGATAAGTCCGAACTTCAAAGGTTGAACCCATAATACGAGCAAACAAAGAGTGAAGCTGCATTGTGGGCCGGGCCTTTTATAACCTGGAACCACCYGGCCCAGGTGTTCTGGCCAATGAGACCCACCCAGTCAGGCTCAGGCTTGTCCATCTATAGACAGACTGCAGGTTCCAAACTGATAACTCATCAAATCAGTAATTATAGTTTCTACACCCAATACAGCTGAATCACACAGACAAATGTACATCATTTACCAGCTATTTAGCTCAAATATCTGATTTAACCATCTGGAAACACTTGGAAATTATTAWTATTTCATCAAACACAACTTGGTTTACATTTATGATGTAGGTGGGTCAGAAACAATCAGGCTTTTATTACTTTARTTTTATTGAACATTTTCTGTTTTCAATCAAAAAACAAATTATCATTAAAACAAATAAAGCAAATTAGGACAAATAAGACTGACAAGAACTAGTCAAACATTTGGAAAAGCTATCAGATATATGT